AGCCCCCACGGGCGGTCGCTAGCGGAGGCGGACGAGCCCAGAGAAGTTGAGAGACCCAGAAGGCGAGGCGGAAGTAAGGGCGCCCCGGTGGCCGGGATGCTGCATTTCTATTGGTCGGCGAGGGAAAGGGCAGTGACTCCAAAAGAGTTCATTTTTGTTTCGGGCAAAACAAACTAATTCGGGCCACATGTGATGAACTGGATAAAACAGGGCAGTGTGACAGGTGGTGATTCTCACAACTTTCGTTTTAGCACATCAGCCTCCATTGCGGGACTGTCTGGTTTTAATTAATTCATTGGGCTTTTGAAAGACTGGCATCAGGAAATGTCTCTAATGATTACAAAACGAGACAAGCTACAGCAAACTGAAACCGTGCAGCTAGTCCAACAGGCAGTTGTGCTGCCTAAATCAAGTGGGAGTGAAGCTAAAGAAAAAAGGCATAATAAGCAACTAATTAAAAAAAAAAAAAATCTCACTACATATATTGTACAGTAAGTGCTCAGATGTAGGGGTAATTAAGGAAAACTAAGGCTTATTCGTTCATTCAAACATTTATTAACCATGTATTATTTGGAGGATGACCATATGTAATTTATCTTCCAAACAAGACACTTTGAGAGTGAAAGAGGGTGCAGTTAATAAATAAGCCAGGCGAACAAGCACACACCTAGTTGTATGGTCAGCTTAACTATATATACATCAAGTACAGTGCTAGGCACTTGGGATTCAAAAGCAGTAACATATGCTCTATGCCTTCAAGAGGTAAGTCTAGTAGACATGTCACCAGTTAAGTGTAATCAAAATAATATAGGTGCTATGAAAAATATACATGGGGTAGAGAAATAGGTGGGGTATTTAAGAAAAGGAAATTGTCAGGGGTATTTAAGAAAAGGAAATTGTCAGTGCTGGAGGATAGGGGATGGGAGGAAAAGCATCAGAATGGAGGTAATGTTTGTGGTGTAAATGATGATGATATTTTCTTTAAATAGACAAGGAGATGGAGGCCACTGCAGGAGCAGGAATAACATGAACAACCCAAGAAACCTAAAACAGCATGATCGTGGTTGCCAGGACTCAGCCTAACCAGATGAAAGCGGCATGGTGAAGAGTATTGGGTGGAGGGATTAGAGTGTTGTATTGGGGCTGGATCATGAAGAGTCTGTGTGCCATACCAACGGAATTGGATTTCTACTGTAATTTAAACAATATGGAACCATTGGGGTTTTTTAACATGAGAAATTAAATTACCAAGTGTTTTGTTTTTTTTTTTTAAATATATCTTTATTGATTTCAGAGAGAGGGAGAGACAGAGATAGAAACATCAACGATGAGAGAGTCATTGATCGAGCCCGCAACCCGGGCATGTGCCCCGACCGGGAGTCGAACCCCGATCGCCTGGATCTTAGGTCAACGCTCAACTGCTGAGCCACACCCGGCCGGGCCCAAGTTTTCATTTTAAAAGATCTGGACAACACTAATCTGGAGGACAGAGATTAGAAATGGGAGGCCGATTAAAAGACTTTAGCAACTGTTCAAGCAAAAGATAAGATTTTAAACAAAGATAAAGGTAATGGGAATGGTAAGTAAGAGTCAGATGAGATTTTAAGGCAATAATTCATAATATATGGCATGTAAGGAACAGGGAGGAGTCGAAATGACTCCCAGATTTTTTACTTACGTGCCTGGGTGGATGTAGGGTCTGTTCACGGAAATCAGGACTATGAGAGGAGGAACAGGTTTGGGGAGAAAATGAGCTCCAGTATTAACAGGTTGAGTGTGAATTTCATATTGGACATACCAGTCAGGAGCTAAGGGAGTTCTTATTTGCATGTAAAATATATGTAAGTCATGGAAAGAATTGCCCTCACTCAGGAAGAGTGGTATGAAAAGAGAAAAGGGTCAAAAACAGAACCTTGGAAAAAACACCAGATGTAGGACTTGGGCAGAGAAAGAGGAGCTCGGGAAGGGTTTGGAGGAGACCCACAAGATGGATCCTATTAATTAATTAATGTGTTCAATAATACAGCTCAAGTTCGGAGAGTTTGCATACTACTCTTTGATACATATTTAGATGGACAGGTTGAGAGTGGGTCCTATATTAAGAAAATGACTCAACAGAGTTCTTAAGAGTATCAAAGAAAATAAGATAAAAGATATATTACAGTGCCTGGCACATAATAGGCATGCAAAAAGTATGACCACTGCTGTTATAATAGGCAAGAATTTGCTAGCACAGACCTAAGTATTCAAGAAATAGAGCATTTCTTTATTTTCTTGAATCAACTTAAATCTCCATCTCCTAGGCTATTAGAAGATTCAAGCTCATCATATTTGGGGTTTCCTGGCACTCCCTAGGGTCACACCAGAATCTGACACTAGAATGTAAAGTTTACAACAGGATCATCAGCACCAGAAACAGTGTCCTGCAAATGGTGAAGAGTCTCTCTCATTTTCTGTCTGTTAGGGTCACCAGGGATAGCTCCCAGTGCCAGCCTGAATTATCATATGAATGTGCATTTCCATGCCTTGCTTGAAGCCAAGCAAGGCCCAGGTCTCTTTACTGAGATAGACTCCCACTTAC